TATAGAAGGACTAAAAGACATGCTCGTGGTAAAGTAAACAAAATAGACAAGGATGGGAAAGTATGCAGATTTAATATAATCATTGATTACAAATCTAAATATACATCGATGTGTTCCAGTAGTATAATTAAGGCCAGTTTACTATAGCCACTACAACTTGACAACTCCCATTAAATTCACTGTGTTGATCAATAGCTACAATTGATTGGTTGGTCTCAGGTTCATTACAAGTTTTGATAGTACCTACTGCATATTTGACGAGATATTTGATGAACATTTTCCAGTGCAACCTTTGGTCGAAATCCAAATCACAGTCAATGAAGCGTTGTGAGCACAAAAGTAAATTTCGAGAGCTGTTCTTGAGATATATTTACAAATGTTAGGTAACCATTTTGCTCGAAGTAGGTACTGGTTCGTTTGGAAAACTAAGAAACATAAACTACTAAACCTACAACCTCGCCTACAACATGATAAATGACATGTCTTACCGATGAAAGGAAATGTCCTGTTTCTTCCCTTTATGAGAAATTTTGCATGATACGCAGCTAATCATTCTCAATTCCCAAAATTGCGTGTGATAAAAACACTATGCGGCAGTTAGTTATTTATATAAACCAGAGCACAAACCGATCCGAAATTATTAGGTACTTTAAAATGGCAAATTTAATAAAATTTGAAGTTGGTGGAAAACTGACAGTGACAGGACCCGCGTTTTCATATGTCAAATAATGTCGGCCAAAATGTACCTTCACGGGAACCTATCCACGCGAGTGGCCTCTATCTGTGGCAACTTCCGTCTACAAAAATTCTTACCCCCTCTACCATTATATTCCCTCCATTAGTTTTCTAACTCAATGGCAGTAACCTACCTATGAGACACAATTTACGGAAACAAAAAATTTCCATTAAATATGTTTTATTGTATATTTACAAATAAATAATTTCCTTTCTTTTGGATTAACGAACAAATTGTACTTGCTTTTCTAGTTTTCAAAGTAGAAAAAATCTTGTATTACGATTTCAAAACTTGTTCTATGGACAATATTGTAGATTGTAGATTTTATAGTCATAAATCGCTGATTGTGGAACGAAGATAATTATTTATCTACTTCATCTTGAAGAAGCTCACGTTTATTTTCTTGCAATGACATGCAACTGATCAATAAGCGTTCTTTTATTTTCTTTATAATTCTGTCTATAGATAAAATATTTCTCTTCGTACTTCTTGGTAGGATAGTCCCACGTCTCGTGAACGTGGGATGATTTATTGATTAACTGCACCTGCATAAGCGAGATGAATTGGGGTGTAGCGCTCATTTCTTTTCTGAGTTGCAAATTTTGAAGCTACCAAATTCGTAAAGTTGTGTCATTAAATTAATTTATGTACATGTTGTTCTACTTATCTTGAGACCGTCGATTATTGCGGAAACTAGCGGGAATATAAAAAATGATTTATATAAAATATTCTTCATATGGAGGGGCCATTAAATGATGCTACGCAAGTTAATTTCTTCCAATAGAAACTTATAATTCGTATTGAATCTTCTTATTCTCCATCGGAAAATAATAAGCTTTCGTGGGAAACGTTTTTTTCCCTACTTTTTTTTACCATATTTTGAACACACTCTTTCAAAAGCGGGATTTTTTGTTTGAGCTATCAAGAATCTGGTATATTTTTTCAAAACAGTTCCATTTTAGAAAAATGTCAGATATATACTACATTTTCTTTTAAACCTTTAAATTTTATTTAACAATTTTACCTTGGGAAAGCTACACTTGAGCCAACTTTCCAAAATTTTCTTTCGACCCTTCACATTCTTTAAATGCATTTACCTTAGAAGAACTGCCCAGTTTACTAATTCACAGAATTCAATAATTTTCTCTTTAAAAAATTGCACGCGTCTTATGTTGTTTCTAATCTACAGGTCGTATCTTTTTCAATCCTTTCCCATAGGAAAAAGCGCACGCGAAGCCAAGTATACTAAATTTACTTTGAAATCCACAAGCTCTATTCAATAAATTTACCATGGAAATAGTGCACGTGGTCCAAATTAATTAAATTTTCTTTTAAATGACCTCCCTGATTGTATTCAAAATGTTTGTTTCACTTCCCATTCAACGCTACTGATCAATGCTTTTGTCTGTTGTATCAAATGCACATGTCCTATTCAATAGATTTATCTTAGTAGTATTTGCACCTGAGGGCCTTATTGATCTTCAGAAAGTTCGGAATTTTTTCATCCAAAGATCAAGATAAAGGTCCATAACCACCTACACGACGCAATAGTTTAGCCATAATATGGAAAAATGGTAAAAATTGTCACACTTGCGCATGCACGATCCTGCCCAAAACCTTTTGCTTTTATGTCTAAGTCTAAGAATATGTGCATCAAATTTGATGCCAATTGGTTTAACCGTTTAGCCCCAAATGAGAGTACAGACAGACAAACCGACATCATCTTTTGTTCGATTCGGATTCCTGGTGCTGGAATGTATATTTCCGTAGAAAAAAGTGGGGGGTGATTTTTTATCCTACTGCACGCACGGGTGGTAGCATGTCTCAAGTTCCCCTACGTGTGGGTTTATTTGTAATTAATTTAATTCTGTTTTTACCACCCGCACGTTGGTAAGGGACTTATTGTATTGGGGTAAAAAATGACTTCCGCCCCCTACGTTTTTGAAAGAAATACAAGGTTAGAGCACCAAGAATCCGAATTAAACAAAATCTGTATTATGTTGGTCTGTCTATCTGTACTCTCATTTCCGATAAACGGCTGATCCAATTGGAGCCAAATTTGGTACACATATCCTGAAGGCATAAAAGGCAGAATCGCGCAGGGGCAGGCGTGCGGGTGGTATCTGTGCTGGCCGTAGCAATTAACCAGACACATAGTACATAACGTTTTCAATAAAAAAAATAATTTCTGTTAATGGACTTTGAAAAGCACCAAAATTTCAGGAAACAAAACTAATCTACAGAAAGAATCGTGCTTTCTTAGTATCCAATCTTGATTCATACATTCAGAATCAGCTGTATCTCTCCTCCTTTACGACTCTACTTCATTTCGCTTCACCATTCTTTAACATTTTCTGGACATCTTCATTTGCGTCTTATTTGCGTCATTCTTTGCTTCACATTACTCGCAACCCATTCATGACCATCATTCTAAATCATCTATTTTTTGCATCATTTACGGCTCTTGGTCGTCTCCTTTATTAATGTTGAGAGCCTCAATTAAGTGCGTTTTACATACTGAAAGTTGAAATTCTCTCAATCGAGGGCATGTGCAATACGTCGTTTTCTTGAAAGTGAAAGAACTAGCAACTTTTCGGTTCGGGCGTGAAATATTTCACTTTCAGCTGAAATTTTAAGGCTGCCAACCCTAACATTGGACATTTAAGGTGGCGTTTACAAAAAGGGCAAAAGACCGATGATTGCTAAAGGTTTTAGCTTGTGAATGAAGTTAAATTTGATAACAAATTAGTATCAGTGTGTGATAAAAATGAAAGATATATATTTTATATGGGAATTTTTTAAGAATTTCTTTCCTAAATAACGACGAAAGTACATGAATTAGCTAAATAATTTTTGTTTCATGCAAATGTCGGAACATTATATATGTGAATGAATGTTATTTCAACCAAAACTGTACACCCAGAAGGAAGTTATTGTGGAAACAAATTTCCACTTTTCAATGTAAACGCCACCTTAAGATTAATTTTATGTTTTGTGTCATTTAATGGACATTTGTGTTGACGGGTGTACAGACAGATTATTGAGCAAAAATTACGACTACACAGAAATAAAAGAGAAACAAGTTTTGAAAGGCGTCGACCTAATCTATATTTTTTAAGTTAGCAAAATATCACTTTAAAGTGTAATAGAATTGCAACATGTAAATCTGTCACTTCAAAAATTTCCGGAACGTTATTTCACTTTCGATTTTCATGAAATAACTTTCAGTATGTAACACGGGCTTTAGACTTCTTTCTTTATTCCTTCTTCACGCATCTGGTGTAGTATTTTTTGTACTATTTTCCCTACATTCTTATCACGTCTCCTTCACGTCTATTTTCCTTATCTTTTAAAGCTCTTTTTCGTTTCCACCGCCCGTTATTCACGCCTCTTTTTCCCATTTACGACACTTTTCTCTGCACCTTTGTTTCTTTTCCCCTTTATGACTCTTTTGCCTCCATCGTGCCTATTTCGAGTGTTCTTCACGTTTTTGCAATTTACTTACTCCTCTTTTTCACGTTTAAATTTAATTTTGTAAATCACGTTGCAAATTATGAAAATCTTTCGGTATGCCCCGTATACGTAACATTATGTTATGGGAACATTTTTGGACAAAGATACTTTCTTAATGGTATGTCTGTTAGATCATTGAAAAGTGGAAAGGACTATAGGATTATATTCCGACTACGTTTCGAGGTGGAGACGATGGACTGATCACACTGAATTACATTATGGAAAATCAAACTTGGTATTTTTCATTTTGACCCGAATTTTTAGGCCATTATAGTAATAATAATAGAGATTACACTAAATAATTACGCATTAACTATTATGTATTGTCCTGTAATTGGAATGTCTGTTCTGTTGGGCAATAAATCTCTACTATTATTATAGTAATGAGAACCTAGAGGGGTCTTAGAAAAGCATGGACGAAAAAAGCTCTGAGAATTACTAATTGATTTTTAAAACTCTTTGATTATCCAGAGAGCCTTTGAAAGTCCGCTTGTCCCCTTAAGAAGTTTTAGGAGCTTGTAGTCCCCTAGGGTCTTTAAATGTTTTCAGTAGTCTTTAAAAGCTTGTAAGAGATATAAAGTGTTTGGAAAGTTGGTGGTAAAACAGAAGTCAGAAAATAATCATGAAGACTACGCGTTTATTAATTTAAACATGTTGTATTAGAGATCCAAAATAATTCGCACCGTCGTGAATCCTCGCACAAATCATTTAAGATCGCATGATTAGCAATAAATAATTATTTTATCTTCCAATAAGGAGGCATATAGATACAGGAGGAAGGCACTTCACATTTTATATACAACACCCCAATTAATTAAAAGTCTCACACCTAAGACAAAACAATTTTCATCCATACGACACAGTGTATCCTAAATTTGTCATAAGAGTCTCTTTGATGGCCGGCTGTAACTCTTTTTGCATGTAATTGGTTAGGAGCGACCTAATTCCCTTCAAAAATATATCCTCCATCTCCCTAGATATGTCGTCTTCTTCTTCATCGTCGTCTCGATAGCTCCTCCGGTGCTGTTTCAAGCGAGGCTCGCATCCGTAAGCGTAAACGCTAATAAATCCCGGTTCCACAAAGTAGGAATCCGTTCGTACATTAAACTGCCCTCTTTCTGAACGGATTGGTTCGGTGTTAAATCTGTAAAGGATTAAATGGGTACATCAATAATGGAAAGTGCGTAGGCTCACCCTATTCCTGCTCGACGAAGCCGAAGTATCATATTGCAGGAATCCTCAGGGCTGGGATTAACGGGTTCCCTTTGCAATTCGCCATCGTTGAATAGATTTACCTTACCGCTGATAGTCAAATCGTTAAATAAAAGACGCGTTTCCAAGCTTGAGTTTCTCGGATCAAAGCGACATTTATCCACTCTCACCCAACTAACCGTTGATGGTATCCGCACCCTCATTTCGGTTACGTACATGTCGTAAGGCGCAGATCTCATTTGGTGATGTAGGGAATATCCGTGTAATTTGACTGATTTCTGTTTGCTCAGTTCACGGCGTCGAATTTTCTCCAGGGCATTCTCCAACCGTTCCGAACATCGACTGCTATACTCCGATATTCTATCGTCTGGATATTCCGCCCCTAAATTATTACCGCTGCCTCTTCCGTACGATTGTGAGATTTTCTCATTGTTTCTCGCGACAACACCTGAAAATATAGACAGACCAATTAAGAGTCGCTTTAGAAAGGAGGAAGAATAAGAAATTATTTCTATAGGTACATTTTATGGGTCGGCGAGCTAATGAAATAGTTTCCATCGCGAGAGTTCATTAAAAGTCGCTTTTGTCGACAGTTATCCTTAAAGTTGGGTAAACAAGGCGTTACGTTAAATTTTAATTGAAGTAATTGCTTGATGATAATTGTTTCCAAGACCAGACGGTATAAATTCTACCTCCAGAACGCGCGAGATGAAGGTTCGCTGAGCAAGAAAATTGTTATTTTAGAGTCATAGATTTCAGATTAGTTTGAATTATTAAAGTGAACAATTTGCTTATAACGCCTATCTTCACAGTGTGCCTTGTTTAAACTTTCTATTATTTTTTTTACAATTAAAACTAATTCTGTTGATTCTCATATTGTTCATTCAATTCAGCACCGGAAGTAAAATTACATGGATGATAAAATATTGCATGTGGGTACATCCTCTGCACTAGAAGTTTTCACTTGTTTTCTTTTCCTTTTTAGAGAATAAGTGTCGGATGTAAAGGGAGGAAGTGCTCGGTGGCGGGTGGTCCAGTGGCTCTATAAGGTCCCCCATACCTTAATAATGTAATAATTTCTTCGTTTTCTATTTTGACATCTATCAAATTTCTAATCTACTTGATCTACTATACTAATTATATTCTCGACAAATTTCCTTATAAAGATCTGCAAGGTATTTGTTATCTTTTTTTTTCATTTTTAGAAAAAATAACTTTTTTAAAAACATTTCTTTTAAAAATCTCCAAAAAATGTAGCGTTACGCAAAATATGTTCATTGAGCACTGGGAGTTCTCCAAAGCCCTAATTACAACTACAAACATTAAGAAATAAAAATGTTCGCAGCATTTTCTTTATGTGGTATAATCGCGCTCGCTTTTCGCAATACATTTCTTGTTATCGCTAGATATACTCTCGTTCATATTCGCTATGAAGAGGTACATGTGCAAATTGTCATATGCTGAACAAAATATAAATTCGAAAAAATACTGTTTAAATCTAAAGCAACCACCCAATACAAGCGCCTTATCAGAATTCAAAAAAACTTGAAAGCATTCAAATATGAATTTAATTCAAAAAATGTTCCTCAAGAGAGCACGACAAGAAAAGTACGGTAAATATTACAAAACACGTTTTATTAAACATTATTTTGCGATATATTTTCAGTGGTAATATTCCACAATCAAAATTACAAATTGCCTCTGAAAGAGTCCTCCAGCTATTCGTTCAATGAGTAAATGTCAAAGAAAGTGCTTCAAATCTTTTCCTAGCATATTTTTAATTATACGTTCTAACTGCACCCAATATAAATTTCCGATCAATTTATTTTAAGAACTATTTTGTAAATTCGGACTTTTATCGACAATATGTTCTGACTATTTTATTAAAAAAGTTTATAGCAACTGAATACCGATTTTTTAAAGATTAGTTGTTTTGCACCGATTATTGCGCTAATCTGTTTTATTATTTTACTTCCGGTCACTTCTAACAATCTAATTTTTTTGTAAATAAAGTCTGTATCTTGGCGGGCGGTAAATCAACAATTTGAGTGTAGCAAGTGGCGCCGCGCCGCTGCACAGTGTCGGCGGGAACTAACTAAGGAGCAAGACAGGAGTTGACAAAGCAAGAATATCATCTTGTCTCTCGCAAGTATAATCATATATACACTGTAATGTAAAAAAGTTGCCCTTACGTAAAGAAGACTTTGCTTATGGTAATTTCTTAAAGCTCCAATTTAAACCAAAAAAGTTTCTTGTGTGTTTTCCTTATAAGAAGTGCAGTAAACGCAATTTATTGAACATCTCCAGAACGTTTTTAACTTTGAACAATGCTGCTAAAGTAGAATGTTCTTTAGTTTGCGCGCACGTCATCAATTTTGTTTTTGGGGAACATCGCAATGCCAACGTATTAACAAAATAAAAGTTGTATAACTCACAAATGCCATCGGGTTTAACAAGAAAACGTAAGCAACTTATTTCTGCGAACAGAGACTTCTATTTCAAAATTTCTAAATCGGGAAAACCTCTAGACAGTCTTAAAAAAACCAGGCAATGTAAGAAACGCACAATGCAGCACTGAATGTATGGCTGCCTACATACGTAGGTATTCTCTCCCATTGATTGCATGGTGCTATGTAAACATACTTAATGATGACGTCATAATACACCGATGACGTGCGCGCAAACTAAGGAAATTCCGACTATATATGAAATACTTGATTTTTGTTATTTATTTTTTCCCACTCCACGTTACTCAGAGTAACGATTTTTAATTTCTACGAGATTGTGTTTTCAGTGAAATTTATCGTGACTTAGTGGATGATAAACGTCGTTTATTTGCACGTGAAGCACAGTTTAATGAAGGCAAGAATGTTCTCAAACTCATCCTGAAGTGTTTTAATGAAGGAATTGTAGGTACTTGACTTGGTATTAACGCTAAAGGAATAGCATTTTACAATACTTGAAGCAAGTCGACAGTGTTTTTTTGGAAATTATGCAAGGAAATAATCCTTTATGAATAATAGAAGCGAATACTAAACAAGACTTTTTCATTCAATTTGGTTCCATAAACTAGTCTTATAGAGTACTTCTATGAAGATTATTAATAATATTATAATGATTAATGACCCGTTTCACGGAAGTCATCTGTCACTTAACTTTTAGCGGTAGGACGGAAAACCAGCCCTAAAGTAATATTATTAAAACTATGCATTTGCCCTATTAGAATCGGCACTGAAGACAGTAATAGCAGTATATTAAGATACAAGTGTATAATCAATTCTTGAAAGCACGCGCAACGGTTTAAAGACTAATTATACACCCGTTCCTTATAGTATTTTTTTAGATTATACCTGCAGTGTAACTTATGGGAAATAAAATAATATTATATCGACTTTATACTCGAATATATTTCTGATTAGGTGGGCGGTTATTTGAAACTCCATGATAACCATGCGAATGTCACTTGAAGTTTGTTTATAAAAATCACCGTTTTTACAAAAAAAGTGAATTTGGTTGAGAAAGATAATAGACCGTCTATTCAGTGGTTTGTTGCAGAAGCAGAAGAAAAGTCGCTACTTATATAATCCAAATGCAAAAGCCTATTACAAAGACCATCCTAGTTCGAACACCCTATGCTAATGTGCGCCCTACGTCTTAAATGTCATTCGAGAAACCAGATTCTAAATTCTTTTCGTATTTAGTATAATTTTATTCGTAGTAGAGAAGTAATTTATGATTCAGTTATTAACAATTTAATTTTTATTTTCTTTATTCAATTATTTGCATTATTTTAAGTTTATAACGAATTTAATTTTAGTTCAATTTTCTTTTGGAGCTGCTGGGGGTAATTCGTGGTCAACTTTAGTTACAATCCTAATCCTTCCATCTTAGACTTTTAACTTTGCTTATGGGGATAAACCGAAAGGTAGTCGCCCCATACGCACCCCACTCTAACCTCAGGGGTGTTTACTACCCGCACTACGTACAGTCGTGCATTCTTGCCAAGCGCCGAACCAACTTACTTGACCTATCCAGAAAGTGGACTGCTTTACTAAGACAAACAAGGGTAGTGATGGGGGGCCATTTCCTTCCTTCCTTCTTTCACATTTCTTCGTATCGTTTCAGCTTCAGATCCTGTCTAAGGGCTTTCTAGATAAATTCAAGGTTTTATATACAGCCTTCTAGTGTCTTTCCAAAAGTGTCTAGGCCCATTCTTTCAAAGATTTTGAAAACACCTCCAATCTAGGAAATAGTCTATAAAACTCCAGTGCTCTTTGGTTTTTTAGATCCTCTCTATACTGCCAGAGCGTTCTACGCCTTTTCAAAGCTTTGAATGCTGATATGGTTCTAGGGGATGCCCATAAGGTTCTTAGCAGCTTTAGAAATATGTGTCTGATGTGTGCTTTAAATACAGTAAACTAATGCCCGGTTAAACAAACTATGATTAAGGATAATCAATGATTAAAAATATTAGAATGTTTAGCCATCTTCGATTATAAGCTCAGATGTTTCCCATTCTAATATTTTAAATCCGTGATTAACCTTAATCATAGTTTGTGAAACCGTCTAACCATTCACTATATTCGTATATTGTCTTTCCAAAACTTTCAGGAACGCTCAAAAAACCTTTTTTATTGAATTTCAGAATACATTTTAGATATTTTTTTAAGGGATTCTATCCAGAGATCCAGAGAGCGCTTCTAGAGCTTTACCTGCACTACTTTAGAGCATTTCATATGCTTCTAAGGTTGTTAAAGTTTAGTTTAGTCTTTTTCTAGGAACATTCTGGAGCCCTTCAGAGCGTTTTATGCTTACCCAGCCTTAGGAATCGACTACAAACCTCAACTCTCGAAAGAACCCAAGAAACTTTACAGTCCACCTCGAAGCTTTTATTTTTATTCCGTTCTAATACCTTTCAATGCTTTTTAGGCGCGGCTATCCGTGGAAAGTGGTCAAATGTCTTTTAAAAGGCTAGAAATGAGCTAAGGAGACAAGACGTTCTGGAAATAACGCCTTCTAATGCATTCGAAGGCTTTTTAGGTGCAAAATTATAGCGAGGGCACCTTCCCCCTAGATTTCTATATATTTAAAAAACTGTTAATAATCAAAAATAATGTACATTTTGTCGCAAATAAATAAATCGTACAATGTATTATTGAAATTTTATTTGCCTACTTTCTATTTTACATTTTAGATAATTGTAAATGGTCGCCGGAATCGTAACGCGAGAAACTGGCAAATTCCAAGAAACAACTGTAAATTCCCAGATAGATTTAGAAATTCTTGGAAAGATCTGGTAGCTGTTATGCATTCCCAACTAAAGGTCTACAGCTTGAATTCATAGAACACGGAACTACGTAAGTACTTGTTTGTCGTTTTTGCTTTTTGATTTTGATAAAATTAATAATGTAACAAAAAAAAACTGTTGAGTGAATATGTCCTAGCGAGCGTATTTTGCATTTATCTAATATTATTCTAAAATCTTTTCAGGAAAACCACCATTTTTGGAGAGTATTCTCTAGAGCTGTCTCACCAAATTTATGCGCCACGATCTGCCACTGCAGTGCCTAACGGCAGAAAAAGGTTGGGAATTGACGTCTCAATCAACTTCTCCAGTAGAAAATCGCGGTAAGCGCATTTCCTTATAATTTTTTTCTTGAGAACCAACTATAAGACATATTGAGAACGCGTTTAGATATTGAGTATGTCCTCTACCCAAGATGATTTCAAAGAAATTTGGTAACATGTAATTGCCGAATCTACAATTGGTTTTTCAATATTCGAAAAAAATCTGATTGCAATTCTTGATCGGACAATGAATGTGATCAGAATTTCACGAAATTTCCCGTGTATGTTCTTTGAGTATTTAAGAAGAAATTTGACGAGTAGTTTTTCAATACGACCTTGAAGCGAAAGTTGCGGATTAGAGCTTTGCTACTTCGAGTAAGGTAGAAATTTAGGAAACGGTTTGATTTGAAATATACCTACGTAGCATTGCTCCCTTACCTTTTTTTAAAAGAAAGATCTAGTGGTTCTGAAAGGACCAGAGTTTTCCGCTGATTTAGAACTAGGAGTATTCCCCAGCTAAGGGTAACTATATCACTCTTCCTTTCCTTACTACCCTAGTTTTCTTATGATTTTCGGAGAAAGGTAATTGGATATATATCCAATGTATCTGGGGGGGCTTTCATAGCCCCGATCCTCCGTACGACATATTTCGCCAAAATCAAATGAAATGAAATGAAAAATGTCAATAGAATATGATTTGTAGAAAATGGGCGGCCCGGTTCGACTCCCGGCCTATCCAGAATTTTTTTAATTTTAAAATTATTATTTCTACATTTCGCGAGAGTAATGATGATCGTTGACGTAGAACGTCACAATATTTCTATATCGTTTGTATTCTATATAAATAAAAATGAATGTTTGTATGTATATATGTCTCTTATGCCTTCCTAAATCGTTCATTAGATTTCAATGAAACTTTGGGGAATGGTATGCCCGCGAAGGTTTCTGATTTATTAAAAATCTTGCAAAATTCCCACGGGAATGGGAACGGGAACGGAGTTTTACAGTCGAAACCGCGACACGTTTAAAATGTAAGTTTCTTTGAAGTTATAATACTGAAGAGTTCTAATAATAATAATTTATTAGTCCGATTGATCGCATGCTGGTTATCGGACCCGTCAATTACAATGTGTGGTACAAGTTTATGAAATTATAATATAAAAGGTGTAGTAATATTAGTAAAAAAAAACAGGATCTAAATTAATAATGGCGATTTTTTTAATTGATTCGTAAACTATACACAATATGGAACGATGAACGATATGAAATAGCATTTGGGGTAAGTGGCCTCCACGGCTTGGCTGGCACTTATGAACTCTTTTGATAAAATTTTCCATAACTGTTTTCCCCCTGGTTTTCCCCTTTCGACCCTATACTCATCTCATCAACTTCCAGAATTTAAACTAAATTGCTAATTATCAGTTGGCAAATGCATTAAAATATCATTTCACGTTGGAGATCGTGACAATGACCATTCTATTTAAAATCGACTTCGCCGCGCCAAAAACTCCCGTCAGGATTTTGCATTGCCTTATGATCCCTGTGTTGTAAAGTGAAGGTGAGACGAACTATAGCCTTCTCATGATAGTTTCCGGCGAATGGTAACCGGATTGATGTATATTAGAGGATTCCACCCAGACCCCTTGGTAATTCTTTTTTCCACAGGCCGTAATTTAGCCTTAAGAACTCGAATAACAGTTGGACATGATTAAGAGATCGTTTTCTCCATACTGCAGAGCACGTAGAACCGAGGGTCTGGGTGGTATGGAATAACCCCAGGGACACTCCCCCAGTAAAATAACTGGGTAGAGCAGGGGTCGGCAATCTACTGAAACGGATGAGCCAAAAGTTACAATTTAAAACATTTCCCAGTTTTTAAAGAACCACTAAAATTTGTCGGTTCAATATTATATATAGTATTTGGTTATATACAGGGTCCTGCAACAGTGAGTTAACAATCTTTTGTGCAGATATCAACTATAGGTAGCTACGCATCTACAGAAATTATTGCTGAATGTACAGGGTGTCAATAAATAACTGATTTTTGAAAAATAAAACACCGTCTATATTTTTAATTGTTTCAATGTCATTTGTTAACCTCTAGATTCAGTTTTTGGTTTGTTATTAACGTTGCCAGCTGATTTTTTTTCCGAATAATTCCCCATAAGCCAGCCTCATTTTGATTAATCGTAGCCTCCTTGATTTTGAAGTTAAGGAATACATTTGATCAATAATAAATGTTAATCCCAGTAAAGGGCAACACTTTGATAATGAGGAAGTCGGATTTAGTGATACAGGGTGTTTACAAGGAAATGGTAAAATTTCCAAACTTCAAAGTGCCATAACTATTCTTTTTCAAAGGGAACTACTACAATTTTATTTCGGTATTCGATTGTCGTTGTGTTCTCTTTGATTTTTAAAAGGGGTGTCCTGTGCTTAAACCCGGTTTGTAGGTAATTCAATATTTTTCACCATTACCCATTAATTAATTACATGTTTATACACCGGAGTAGGCTGTGATAATAAAAAAAACAATAGAATACCAGAAAATAAACAAGTGTCACAAATTAATTAAAAAGATGAAGTAGTTTTTTTTTAGATAAATGCGGACAGCCGCACCTTTATATAAAAAGAGCCGCATTGAACCGCAGGTTGCCGACCCTGGGGTAGAGATATTTTCCAGCTGAAGATGTCGCTTCCTTGGTACCCTAGCATTCTCATGATAGTTTTTGGGGGAAGGTAATAGGATCAATGTGTACTAGGGGATATTCCATACCCCCTAGACACCCTCGGTACGACATATTTCGCAAAAATCGTTCTGCATTTTAGACTCTTGTTTTTGGGAAGGAACAATTAAATCTTCTTTTCCTGAGGAATATTATAACTGGGGGGTATAACACTCCCCAGAGATATTCCCCAGCTAAGGATGACTAGATCACTCTTTATTACTACCCTAGCATTCCCATGATAGTTTCCGCGGAAAGGTAATCGGATAGGTGTGGACTTGGGGATATTCCATACACCCCAGGGCCCCCGGTACTTCTTTACTGGTATGGACCGATATATAACTGGGGGTCTAACACTCCCCAGAGATATTCTCCAGCTAAGGGTGCCCAGATCACCCTTTCTTACTACCCTAGCATTCTTATGATTGTTTTCGGGGAAAAGTAATCGGATCGATCCGCGCCTGACACTTTCAGTAAATGAAAATTCATCCACATACTTTGTGAAAATGCTTGAATACACGTCCTGCAGTGTTTTAGAGTAGAAGCTGGTATTTCAAGGATTATGTTGGCGTTAGCCTTTATTTATCCAGATGACAATTTTGGTAATCAGGCCTGCGATCGTGTTCCTGGAGTAAATAGAATTTTGAAGATGCCTCCTCCAAGAAAGTCTAAAGACAAAATCTGTAGCCCTAGGTTGCTGGACCACATAATCCATCGATTAGGGAGAGTGCGGTGATTTACTACGGCCTAGGGAAGGACATGTTGGAATCATAGATGTTCTTACTCGTCATACCGCCTTGTTAGATATTGAATAAGAATTTTTTTGAATAGTTTTAATGCAATTTCAATTATCTAACAATAATCGATAACTCGGTATGGTCCTAAGTAGATCCAAAACAAAAATCACAAACAATACGGCATTCGTTCTTTAAAAACAGTCAATTTTGGTTAGCTCGAGAATTGTTTCAAAACGCTACAAGAAAGTTTTGACCATGTTCTCTCCGAAAAACAACCTTTCATGGTATATCAAGCCGGTCATCTCAAAGTGTAAACAATTACGTTTCCGCAACATCCGATAAGCGTACACGAAGGTGAAAATGTAAATTCGCCATTGTATCGCTCGTTAGATAAGTCTTTTGTGTTAAATGCGAATTGGGTTAGTCAAAGGGGTACCCGCAAGTTAAGCGGAAAATGCTGGCGCTATCAAGAAGAAAGTTATACTTACGATCGCCCAAAAATTCGATGGTGCTCGCGTCTTCAGTTAAAACACACCAACTATCACCGATAACACTAAGGGCCCAAAGGAAAAGCATCCACATGATAAGGTACATCAATGGTCGACGACTTTAAAAGAAACACTACAATCTTCGTCGCAAATTACTAATATTGTTATAAATAATTAGAGCGTACTGGGACGAGTCTTTTGGTGAAACGTGCAAGTTTAAGTCTACTCTCACTTAGGATGTGGGTATATGCTGTTACCGCGCTGCGATTCGGTAAAGAACTGCCAGTTTGTGGAAAAGAATTATAGGAAACAATTGTTAATAAAAAAAACTAGGTCGGTATTGTTTTAAGCAGACTTGTGAAAAGGTTTTTTTTTAGTGAAACTTATTTAAATCTGTGGAGGTGGTGAGGGACTGTCGGAGGCACGTACGTGCAGAGTTAAGCAACAGGAAATACTTTGTACTATTGTTATAATGGATTTACAATTATTTAATGTATAATTAGACGATGTCACCAAATAGTATTTCCGCAAGCATTTCAATGCTCTTACAGAATTCTTTTGTCAAACTCACTCGTCTCCACTGGGTTTCATACGTAAATTGGTTATACTAGCGGCACTAAAGGGAGAGATTTAATGAGCGTTATGCTTCCTTGTGCAATTGTTCCTGTATTTTTTACACTCCCTACGAGGTATTTCTTTTGTGCTAGATTCGGGAATATAAGATACTGATACAGCAGATCTGCCTATACGTAAAACAATCAGAAGCCAATTAATACGCAATTTCTGGACATTATTACGAATTGCACGGAATTATGGAGTATAACACTCGAAAGCTTGTTCCATAAACTTTTGCAATTCACAAATGCAGTGTTAAAGTTTAGCATAAAATTCAGTATGCATGAGGAGCTTCATTATACTCGCCAAATTAAATTAAAATGATTAAATAAGTTGTTTAAAATATAAGCTTCAGAAAAGTTTCTTTGGCATAATTATCAATATTTGTGTGTGTAGTAAGAGGAGCTTTATTCGTTTTTGGTATATAAGCTCTATAAAAATGACAATTTGAAAAAAATGTTTTTATTTTATACCAGATGTTAAATTGACATTAATAGGTTTCAATGAGTAGACTAATGGGCATTTGCACCGATAAATTTAAGCGGAGCTTAATCTATGACAGACATTATTGCGACAATCTCATGGATTTTAAGCTACCGTTATTGTAATTTATTTCCATAATTTTAGAAGTTTTCCCAAATTTACCGCCGTTAGATGAAAACTTATTTATTTTAAGGGTTCAAAATCGTTACTTATACATCAATTCCATTGGAACTACCACAGCCGTTAGCTTGGTGCCCAAGATAAGCATTTGATGCATTTTTTGTGACCAAATGTATGTTGACTAAAAGATATTCATCCAAATTATCTATATCTAATTTTTAGGTTTTTTGTGTTTTTTTAATTAAATTTAGAGAATGACAAATCTGCTATTTTCTCAACTGTTATTTTGTTTCAATTTGTTTCCTAAGTATTCTTAAATTTTTATTTCCTTTTCAATCTACCAAATAACTAAGAACCCCCGGTTTCCCATTGAAATTTGAAGACTATGCATTGGGTTTTTCTTAGAACTTTGATGAACGCTTAATTTCTTTTTAATTTTTACATGCTTTATGTAATTTTTTTAATTTTTCCAAATTTGATTTTTTTAAATACCTACGTTGAATTTGTTTAAATTTGTTTCTAGATTTATTAAGTTTTCCGCGTCGAATCGAATCGAATACTTTGGCTAAAGACTCGATTGTTATATTATAATTCATAACTTACGTCCTATAAGATGTCAAAATCCTTACTTATGCATCGATTTCGTTAGGAAAAGAACCAAATAATGCCTTATGTATTTCGTAATTTTTTTTTTGAATATTTAAATAGAATTTCTTTGTGTTTACTTAATTTGAATTTAAATTTTTGTAGCTACATACTAACTTTATAGTTAAGCTTAATAGAATTTTTGTGGTTGTTTTATTTTAGAAATTTTCTAAATTTTTTGCTTAAATTTAGTTTAGTTTAGCTGTCTGTTTTTTTGAATTTGGATGAGCTATTGCGGTTGTTTTCTCAGTCCATCCGTACTGTAACTACTATAGTGTTCAAGGTGCCACCAGAGCAAAAATACCGTTACATATTTAATCACCCATCACCCGTCGATTTGTGTTAATCGATATCCAAAAAATAAAGTTCATGCATTTTAATGGTCAAGAGTATTGTGTACACGTTTCTCTGCCCACTTCGCGTGTGTTTTAATGGAAGCACGCTTGACTATTCTCATTTCTTTTTTTGAATTTTTCTAAATTTTACCTAATCTGAATTTTTGTGCACACTTTCTGGAATTTTTTAAAGTTTAATGTTTTCACTTGTATACACTTGGAATTTTTAATTCCTTTCAAATTTTATCGGTTTTTTACGAATCAAATTGTAATTCCCTATTTTTTTTTTCGGTGATATTTTCATTTTTTCTGCGAATGTAGTTTTTTTGAATTTCGATTGATTTTTTATCATTTTAGGATTTTTTCAATTTTCGTGTAGATTTCCCGGAAATTTTATGATTAAGTTATTCGAATTTTTTTGAGTTTTTTATTTGTGAAATTTTACTGAATTTGAATTTTCTTATATTACTGAACCTGGATTTTTTAATACGATTGGCAGAATGCGCATTTTCCAACAAAATTGCATCTGATTTCGAGATAATTAATATTTTGTTTTTTTTACATTGGGTGTCACTAGGTCAACTAATCTTGACAAAGCTAATCCCTAAATATGAATTTTTACGCAAATCTAATTATATGGTTCGACTGACACATTGATATTTTGTGTGCACGCACATTTTTAAATTCTCTGCGTTTTGTTGAAATGCTACGCGTTTTTTTAATCTAACCGAGTATTTCCCATTTTTTCCAAGCTTCCAAATATTTTAAAATTTTTGAGTTTTGATTTTTCGAATTTTTATTTAGTCCTGATCACTGTGAATTTTGATTTTATGTGTTTCGCACTTATGTCCACATTCTATAGTTCAGCCTCTAACCGCCATCCAAGAAAACGAGATTTGCCCAAAGGCGGTACGAAGTTCGCCAGTAACTTATGACCAAGGTAGACGAATTTTAACCGAAATTGGTGCCTAAATAACGATTTCGACACTTTGGCAAAGTTCAGGTGGACAAATTCAATTAAAAAATTGTCAAGGTTTATATAAATCTGTTTGCAATGGCGCTAAAAATTCATAGAATTCTGAACTCTTCAAATAGTATACGCATAAAATTCAAGTTCAGTGATAAAAGTGAAAAAAATAAATAAATGGAGAATATTCAGTCAAATCTTCTTAAAAGCATTCTTTTGCGCTCAAAAACCTTATAAATTTGCGTGTCAATATTTTTTACGAGTTTCGAAAACCGTATTATTAACAACTTTTTAAATAATATTTTCTCATCATCGGGAACACAAAAAATGTGTATACGAAAATTGCTAAAAAAATTCTCTCTCACTCACTTTTTGAGGTAGTTTTTAAATGGTCTTTAAGATATTTTAAAAAAGATGCCTGCAGAGTAAAGAAGATAAAAGACGAGATACTAATGAGAGGAGATTCCATTCTTGTAATTTACCAAAACTCGAAGAGGGTTTTTGAGAAGGTTCTTGCGAAAAGGTTTCTGGAAACTTTCTTAATAGATGTCCAGTACAGTGTAGGCAAACCTTCCAAGAACCTTAAGTAACTTTTCAGTAACATTTTATACGATTTCGAAAATGGTTTTGAACTGAGTTTAGAAGATACCATTTAACAAGGTTTTGAACGACTGTTTTAAAAGTCTTACTAGATTCTCTCTGGTTTATTTAAATAGCTAACGTCCATTTTACAGTAAACATTTTTCATTCGATTTCATTATCACAATTTTCTTTTTGTTTGCTTCTTCCTTTACGTCATTTTCCATTTTCTTTCATACCTACAGGTTCCAATATAATTCCTTTTGTATTTAATTTTTAATGCTTTCCATAATTAACTTTTGCTTTTTGTACTTAATTTTTCCATTTTCCACGGCATCCATACGTTTGTCAATCTCATTCAACCATCTAGGTAGTTCATCACTATCGTATTGATCATTCGTTTCAGAATCCCTTCTTTTTCGCTTCTGATTTTACTCTAGACACCCCTAAACAAACCAAGCGTTCTAATTAAAATTCTACTACTACTGAAACCTTTGTATTTATGGAGGTATTTCTTTATCATTTTAACCATAAATGCTTCTAGTAACGACAAACATATATCGTAATTTAAAAATAAGAAAGAGTCAATTTTTTCACATATTGTTAACAGTAAAAATCAGATGTGCGCATGCGCAGATTGCGAATGCTAACTTTATTATTTATAGAAATACTTCTTTGGCATTTTAACCACAGATGCTTCTAATACTCTAAGACAAAACATCGCATGTGGTAGTTTTCGTTAAAAAATGAAAACATTTTTTTACATACTTAATTGTGACAGTGACAGTAGTAAAGTAAGGTATTTGTAAAGTTTACATATTTATACCGACATGTTCTACAAGTATTGAACTAAGTTGGAATCATTTGTATTAATGACACTGGAAAAAAAGTTACTAGGCAAAGGCGAGAAATATGTTTCTTACATTCCAGTATTGAAATTAGCATGGGACATCCCCGTTTATTATTAATTCTTGCTAATTTAAGAGAAAAACCACTTTCACTAATAAATTCAAAATCGTTGTTGCTCCGTGACTTCCGAAAATCCGCACTGTCGCTCGTACTGAAAACCACCTGCATCGCTTATCTCGCACATGGCATTGTTTATCGCAAAACCAATTAATGTTTGTCCGGTAATAACTTTTTACTAATTAAATGGTCTCCTATTTACCCGTTTTAAATGTATCATACACTCTAAATACAAGAAATAGAATGAAATTAATTAAACAATTACCGAAACGAAACTAACATTAAAATGACAATTCAACAAAATTTTTCCATTGTGTCTATTTGAAATAAAAAAATACCCAGGTCTTATAAAACAACTTCAATTATGTTACATACGGGGTGTCCTGACA